GGGGAGGGATAATGTGAGGAGGGGAAGAAGGGGAGGGATAATGTGAGGAGGGGAAGAAGGGGAGGGATAATGTGAGGAGGGGAAGAAGGGGAAGGATAACGTGAGGAGGGGAAGAAGGGGAAGGATAACGTGAGGAGGGGAAGAAGGGGAGGGATAATGTGAGGAGGGGAAGAAGGGGAAGGATAAGTGAGGAGGGAAGAAGGGGAGGGATAATGTGAGGAGGGGAAGAAGGGGAAGGATAACGTGAGGAGGGGAAGAAGGGGAGGGATAATGTGAGGAGGGGAAGAAGGGGGAAGGATAACGTGAGAGGGAAGAAGGGGAGGGATAAGTGAGGAGGGGAAGAAGGGGAGGATAACGTGAGGAGGGGAAGAAGGGGGAGGATAATGTGAGGAGGGGAAGAAGGGAAGGATAACGTGAGGAGGGGAAGAAGGGGAGGGATAATGTGAGGAGGGGAAGAAGGGGAAGGATAACGTGAGGAGGGGAAGAAGGGGAGGGATAATGTGAGGAGGGGAAGAAGGGGAGGGATAATGTGAGGAGGGGAAGAAGGGGAAGGATAACGTGAGGAGGGGAAGAAGGGGAGGGATAACGTGAGGAGGGGAAGAAGGGGAAGGATAACGTGAGGAGAGGCAAGAAGGGGAAGGATAACGTGAGGAGGGGAAGAAGGGGAAGGATAACGTGAGGAGGGGAAGAAGGGGAGGGATAACGTGAGGAGGGGAAGAAGGGGAGGGATAATGTGAGGAGGGGAAGAAGGGGAAGGATAACGTGAGGAGGGAAAGAAGGGGAGGGATAATGTGAGGAGGGGAAGAAGGGAAGGAGGAAGGATAAGTAGGAGGGGAAGAAGGGGGGAGGGATAATGTGAGGAGGGGAAGAAGGGGAAGGATAACGTGAGGAGGGGAAGAAGGGGAGGGATAATGTGAGGAGGGGAAGAAGGGGAGGGATAATGTGAGGAGGGGAAGAAGGGGAGGGATAATGTGAGGAGGGGAAGAGGGGAGGGATAATGTGAGGAGGGGAAGAAGGGGAAGGATAATGTGAGGAGGGGAGAAGGGGAAGGATAACGTGAGGAGGGGAAGAAGGGGAGGGATAACGTGAGGAGGGGAAGAAGGGGAAGGATAACGTGAGGAGGGGAAGAAGGGGAAGAAGGGGAGGGATAATGTGAGGAGGGGAAGAAGAAGGGAAGGATAACGTGAGGAGGGGAAGAAGGGGAAGGATAACGTGAGGAGGGGAAGAGGGGGAGGGATAATGTGAGGAGGGGAAGAAGGGGAAGGATAAATGTGAGGAGGGGAAGAAGGGGAGGGGATAATGTGAGGAGGGGAAGAAGGGGAAGGATAACGTGTGAGGAGGGGAAGAAGGGGAGGGATAATGTGAGGAGGGGAGAAGGGGAAGGATAACGTGAGGAGAGAAGAAGGGGAAGGATAACGTGAGGAGGGGAAGAAGGGGAGGGATATGTGAGGAGGGGAAGAAGGGGAAGGATAATGTGAGGAGGGGAAGAAGGGAAGGATAACGTGAGGAGGGGAAAAGAAGAGGAGGATAATGTGAGGAGGGAAAGAAGGGGGAAGGATAATGTGAGGAGGGGGAAGAAGGGGAAGGATAACGTGAGGAGGGGAAGAAGGGGAGGGATAATGTGAGGAGGGGAAGAAGGGGAAGGATAACGTGAGGAGGGGAAGAAGGGAGGGATAATGCGAGGAGGGGAGAAGAAGGGGAAGGATAATGTGAGGAGGGGAAGAAGGGGAAGGATAACGTGAGGAGGGGAAGAAGGGGAGGGATAACGTGAGGAGGGGAGAAGGGGAAGGATAACGTGAGGAGGGGAAGAAGGGGAGGGATAATGTGAGGAGGGGAAGAAGGGGAAGGATAACGTGAGGAGGGGAAGAAGGGGAGGGATAATGTGAGGAGGGGAAGAAGGGGAAGGATAACGTGAGGAGGGGAAGAAGGGGAGGGATAATGTGAGGAGGGGGAAGAAGGGGAGGGATAATGTGAGGAGGGGAAGAAGGGGAGGGATAATGTGAGGAGGGGAAGAAGGGGAGGGATAACGTGAGGAGGGGGAAGAAGGGGAGGGATAATGTGAGGAGGGGGAAGAAGGGGAGGGATAATGTGAGGAGGGGAAGAAGGGGAGGGATAATGTGAGGAGGGGAAGAAGGGGAGGGATAATGTGAGGAGGGGAAGAAGGGGAGGGATAATGTGAGGAGGGGAAGAAGGGGAGGGATAACGTGAGGAGGGGAAGAAGGGGAGGGATAATGTGAGGAGGGGAAGAAGGGGAAGGATAACGTGAGGAGGGGAAGAAGGGGAGGGATAATGTGAGGAGGGGAAGAAGGGGAAGGATAATGTGAGGAGGGGAAGAAGGGGAAGGATAACGTGAGGAGGGGAAGAAGGGGAGGGATAATGTGAGGAGGGGAAGAAGGGGAAGGATAATGTGAGGAGGGGAAGAAGGGGAAGGATAACGTGAGGAGGGGAAGAAGGGGAGGGATAATGTGAGGAGGGGAAGAAGGGGAAGGATAACGTGAGGAGGGGAAGAAGGGGAGGGATAATGTGAGGAGGGGAAGAAGGGGAAGGATAATGTGAGGAGGGGAAGAAGGGAAGGATAATGTGAGGAGGGGAAGAAGGGGAAGGATAATGTGAGGAGGGGAAGAAGGGGAAGGATAACGTGAGGAGGGGAAGAAGAGGAGGGATAATGTGAGGAGGGGAAGAAGGGGAGGGATAACGTGAGGAGGGGAAGAAGGGGAAGGATAATGTGAGGAGGGGGAAGAAGGGGAAGGATAACGTGAGGAGAGCAAGAAGGGGAAGGATAACGTGAGGAGGGGAAGAAGGGGAGGGATAATGTGAGGAGGGGAAGAAGGGGAGGGATAATGTGAGGAGGGGAAGAAGGGGAAGGATAACGTGAGGAGGGGAAGAAGGGGAGGGATAATGTGAGGAGGGGGAAGAAGGGGAGGGATAATGTGAGGAGGGGAAGAAGGGGAGGGATAATGTGAGGAGGGGAAGAAGGGGAGGGATAATGTGAGGAGGGGAAGAAGGGGAGGGATAATGTGAGGAGGGGAAGAAGGGGAGGGATAATGTGAGGAGGGGAAGAAGGGGAGGGATAACGTGAGGAGGGGAAGAAGGGGAGGGATAATGTGAGGAGGGGAAGAAGGGGAAGGATAATGTGAGGAGGGGAAGAAGGGGAAGGATAACGTGAGGAGGGGAAGAAGAGGAGGGATAATGTGAGGAGGGGAAGAAGGGGAGGGATAATGTGAGGAGGGGAAGAAGGGGAAGGATAACGTGAGGAGGGGAAGAAGGGGAGGAATAACGTGAGGAGGGGAAGAAGGGGAAGGATAATGTGAGGAGGGGAAGAAGGGGAAGGATAATGTGAGGTGGGGAAGAAGGGGAAGGATAATGTGAGGAGGGGAAGAAGGGGAAGGATAACGTGAGGAGGGGAAGAAGGGGAGGGATAATGTGAGGAGGGGAAGAAGGGGAAGGATAACGTGAGGAGGGGAAGAAGGGGAGGGATAATGTGAGGAGGGGAAGAAGGGGAAGGATAATGTGAGGAGGGGAAGAAGGGGAAGGATAATGTGAGGAGGGGAAGAAGGGGAAGGATAATGTGAGGAGGGGAAGAAGGGGAAGGATAACGTGAGGAGGGGAAGAAGGGGAGGGATAATGTGAGGAGGGGAAGAAGGGGAAGGATAACGTGAGGAGGGGAAGAAGGGGAGGGATAATGTGAGGAGGGGAAGAAGGGGAAGGATAATGTGAGGAGGGGAAGAAGGGGAAGGATAACGTGAGGAGGGGAAGAAGGGGAGGGATAATGTGAGGAGGGGAAGAAGGGGAAGGATAATGTGAGGAGGGGAAGAAGGGGAAGGATAATGTGAGGAGGGGAAGAAGGGGAAGGATAATGTGAGGAGGGGAAGAAGGGGAAGGATAATGTGAGGAGGGGAAGAAGGGGAAGGATAATGTGAGGAGGGGAAGAAGGGGAAGGATAATGTGAGGAGGGGAAGAAGGGGAAGGATAACGTGAGGAGGGGAAGAAGGGGAGGGATAATGTGAGGAGGGGAAGAAGGGGAAGGATAATGTGAGGAGGGGAAGAAGGGGAAGGATAACGTGAGGAGGGGAAGAAGGGGAGGGATAATGTGAGGAGGGGAAGAAGGGGAAGGATAATGTGAGGAGGGGAAGAAGGGGAAGGATAATGTGAGGAGGGGAAGAAGGGGAAGGATAATGTGAGGGGGAAGAAGGGGAAGGATAATGTGAGGAGAGGAAGAACGGGAAGGATAATGTGAGGAGGGGAAGAAGGGGAAGGATAATGTGAGGAGGGGAAGAAGGGGAAGGATAATGTGAGGAGGGGAAGAAGGGGAAGGATAATGTGAGGAGGGGAAGAAGGGGAAGGATAATGTGAGGAGGGGAAGAAGGGGAAGGATAATGTGAGGAGGGGAAGAAGGGGAAGGATAATGTGAGGAGGGGAAGAAGGGGAAGGATAATGTGAGGAGGGGAAGAAGGGGAAGGATAATGTGAGGAGGGGAAGAAGGGGAAGGATAATGTGAGGAGGGGAAGAAGGGGAAGGATAATGTGAGGAGGGGAAGAAGGGGAAGGATAACGTGGGGACAGGGAGCCAGGGGAAGAGCAAGTTCACGCACCATACGCGCTGAACCACCGTACCTGATCAACAACCGATTTTGAGGCGCCTCAAAATTCACCGTACCTGATCGACAACTGTACCTCACCATACATTCTCCAGCAGCTGTTTCTATTTGTTGCGGTTGTTTTCTTGACATTTTCAGAAACAGGTTACCATCATACATCCAAACAACACCATGCTTTCTCACACCACCATAACTTCTCACACAACCATAACTCCGCACACCACCATATCTCCTGAACGGCTTGCTCCAGCAGCTGCTGCTTCCTGTCGCAAGCATTCTTAGAATCAGGTTACCGCCATGCCTCTTACACCACCATACCTCCCCACACCTCACACCGCCATACCTCCCCATCACCATCATTACTCCTGGACTGCTTGCTCCAGCAGCTGCTGCTTCTGTGTGATTTAGGTCCTCCTCGCTCTTCTCCTCTGCCTCCCCCCCTCTCCCTGTCTTTCCTCCTCACCATACCTCCTCATCACCACCATACCTCCTGAACGGCTTGCTCCAGCAGGTGCTGCTTCCGCATGACAAGGTCCTCCTCACTCCTCTCCTCCACCTTCCCTCCTCTCCCACTTTTCTCCTCAGTATACCCCTCACACCACCATACCTCCTGCACTGCTTGCTCCAGCAGCTGCTGCTTCCGCGTGACTAGATCCTCCTCACTCCTCTCCCCCACCTTCCCTCCTCATAACCACTTATACCTCCCCGCACCACCGTACCTCCGCACCACCATACCTCCTGGACTGCTTGCTCCAGCAGCTGCTGCTTCCGCGTGACTAGGTCCTCCTCACTCTTCTCCTCCGCATTCCCTGCTCTCCCTGCAAATATCCCGCCCATAACCATACATACCTCCTTCTCGCCACCATACCTCCTCATCACCACCATACCTCCTGGACTGCTTGCTCCAGCAGCTGCTGCTTCCACGTGACTAGGTCCTCCTCACTCCTCTCCTCCACCTTCCCTCCTCTCCCTGCCTTTCCGTCCCTCGACTGCTGCACTGCTGCCTTGCCACTGCGCCGACCTGCACAGAGAATGAGCAGATACAGTGACAGGAACAAGGAGTAAAGTAATGGAGCAGCATATTTCCATCCCTCTCCTCCTATCTCGTCTGCTGCACTGCTGCTGCCTTGCCACTGCGCCGACCTGCACAGATCAGTGCAGATGCAGTAACAGAAACAGGGCACGATTAGGATATTACAATCCCTCTTACTGCTGCTCGTCTGTTGCACTGCTGCCTTGCCACTGCGCCGACCTGCACAAATCAGTGAGATGCAGTAACAGAAACAGGACACGATTAGGATATTTCAATCCCTCTTACTGCTGCTCGTCTGTTGCACTGCCACCTTGCCACTGCGCCGACCTGCACAGGTCAGTGCAGATGCAGTAACAGAAACAGGGCACGATTAGGATATTACAATCCCTCTTACTGCTGCTCGTCTGCTGCACTGCTGCTGCCTTGACACTGCGCCGACCTGCAAAGATCAGTGCAGATGCAGTAACAGAAACAGGGCACGATTAGGATATTACAATCCCTCTTACTGCTGCTCGTCTGCTGCACTGCTGCTGCCTTGCCACTGCGCCGACCTGCACAGATCAGTGCAGATGCAGTAACAGAAACTGGGCACGATTAGGATATTTCAATCCCTCTTACTGCTGCTCGTCTGCTGCACTGCTGCTGCCTTGCCACTGCGCCGACCTGCACAGATCAGTGCAGATGCAGTAACAGAAACAGGGCACGATTAGAATATTTCAATCCCTCTTACTGCTGCTCGTCTGCTGCACTGCTGCTGCCTTGCCACTGCCCCGACCTGCACAGATCAAGTGCAGTGCAGATGCAGTAACAGAAACAGGGCACGATTAGGATATTTCAATCCCTCTTACTGCTGCTCGTCTGCTGCACTGCCACCTTGCCACTGCGCCGACCTGCACAGATCAAGTGCAGATGCAATGACAGAAGCAGGGCACGATTAGAATCTTTCAATCTCTCCTACTGTCTCCTCTGTCGCACTACTGCTGCCTTGCCACCGTGGCGCCAGTCCAGTTCAAAGCAGCCGCACGTTTGAATCAGACAGACGATATCATACGTGAATACAATTCAAACTGTTTCACCTTTGGATGAGCTGAATCTTGCAATGGAGAGCCCGCCATAAATGCTGCTCGTTTTGATACCATCGCCACCAGCCGCAATTGTCCCATTCCGACCCAAGCCATGCAGTTGAACCGAAGCAGCAACGGAGCCTGCTGTGCCGGCATGGGCTGCTGAACCAAGAGGTTCGGCAACAGCCCAGTAACCAGGCTTGCAAAGCGGCGTGGAATTCGCCAGAGCCCAGGGTTGGTGGTGGCATGGATGTTTACTAGAGTTGGCCACGTCAGCTGCTGTCATGACCACGTCAGCTGAGGCCCAGGCACCATTGTTGGACAAAATATGTGAGTCCACATTTAAGTTGCTTCTAGCCACAGGAATGTTACCACTGGGAACCACAGGGATGCTGCTGCTGCTGTTTCTGCCGGTTTGCCTTGTAACTATGTTACAAATGCTGCTGTCGCCGTTGCTGCTGACAAGACCATCCAACCCTAAAGAACCACGCGTACAGTCAAACCCGCAAGCTGAGCCCTGCCACGTGTTTCCAAAGCATTGGCGGGCCCTTCTGCCTGAAAGCCTTCGTGCAAAAACGCCAAGACGAGACATGGTCTACGGATTTGCAAAAAAAAAGCACAAACCGCGTCCTAAGTAGGTTGAAAGAGGTCTATGAGAAGAGAAACGTGCGATTTACTTGATGCTAATGCGATAGCCGAGACTCGCGTCTGACATTCCGCACTGTTGATCCCTAGCTTCCGAATCTGGGATGAAGTAGTATAAGGGGGTGTCGGAATCGCCAGCAGCAGCGCGATTGCCAAAGGCATGCACAAATCGAAACATATCAGAAGCTCAATGTGCCTGGAAGGACGGATCTGGCTCACAAAATGAGCAGACAGAATCCGAAAGCCTCATCGGAACTCGGTCGTCGGACCCGTTTTGCCAGTGTCGACGGGAGGGGTCGTCGGAGGAGGGCCTGACGAGGCGGGCGACTGACGCGCGTGCGGGCCCGCCAGCCTGGCCCAGGGCTGGGCCGAGCGCACGACCGCCGCCCTCCGAAATTGAACAGCGACCCACGTTACCGGGTGGGGTCGGCGAGCTGGCGACCCCTCGCGCGAGGGAAAGTTACCCTCGCGCGAAGGCAGCCCACACGTGCTGCCTGCCCGCGAGGTCCTAGTAACCCATCGCGGCCTGCCCGGACGGGCAGGCGAGGGCCGTGCGAAAATACGGGCCCCCCTCGGGACACTCGACAATTTCGCGATTCGCAGCGGTGGCGCCACGTGTTCGCCCGTGGCTTCGCATCGGGCGCATGCGAAATTTTTGTCGAGGCGGAAATAAATTCTCTCCCATCGCATGCATTCTATCGTCGCGAACCGCTACGAAATCGACACGTGTCGATTGTAGCGTCGCTCCGCGCGCAGGAGGATTCGTGCGTCCCCTCGCCGACCTGGGCCAATGGACGCGAAGTCGACGCTCTACCAAGGCGGAGACGGACCACCTGTGCCACTTGCGCATCCGCCCTCCGAGCACTGCCGAGCCAGGCCCTGCACCCTTGGGCGATGCTGAACGGGCCTGGAGGGGGGGGGGGGGGGGGCACCACCTCCTTTTCTCTGTGGAAGGTGGCCTCGCTCCGCATTTTCGGCATCTCTTTTGAATTTTCAAACATTGACAGCTCTGCGCCTCCCCTCTCTCCTACCAGAGCCGTCCGCCTCTTTTCTTAGTCGACAGATATGGAGCCGATCTCCGCCGCCGATAAGTCGGCGCCGACATCGGCCGACTTTCCCCTTCGGGTGCAAATGGGTCGCGGTCTCAGCTTCACCTTAGAGTGGAACGACTACGCCGTCCTTCGCGACCAAAAGAAAGAGTTCACCGAGAGATGCTTTGGACTCGCCATCAGGTGGGACGCGGGTAGTCGCGGTAGTCGAATAGGGAAGATGTCGGTGCCGACCAACCCTAGTAGGGCGCACTGTCGCCGATTGTCTTCCGACGTACGTCGGCGGGCGCGTTTGACGAAGCACGTCGACATGGCAGCGTTTGCTTACCAGCCATGTTCTCATCCCTCGTGCTCACTCGTGCGCTCAGGTTCGCTTGGTTTGACATTGGGCGGGACGACCTGCGGTTGTGGGTGCTGGGGATCGGCCCGCTTCGATCGGCCATGAAAGCCGCCGACCATTCTTGCTTTGCTAAGGCTTTCGACGCCGACATCGCCGCTATCCCGCTGAAATCGACGTGAGCTGTTACCCCGTTGTCCAGTCATCGTTTTTCAGTGTCGGCCGCATCAACGCCTTATGCTGTGGTCGACGCCGTCGTTTATTGCGTGTGCAGCGGCGGCCCGCTTCCAGGGTCACACTGCAGCGTCATAGCCATCCTCTACCCAGGAGATGTGCTGAAGGCTGAGGGACAGGTCTGCAGGACATCGATCCGGCACATCGACCCGCACACCGGAAAGGGGAAGCACCGCGACGAGGCCGTCCGCGTCCTGAAGTAAGTTGTGAATAGTCGTCGCTGTCGAGTTTGTTAGTCGCCGACACAGGGAATCTCATGCTGACCTCCTCTCCACTACGTTGCTCCAGGCTATTCCGCACGGCTGCCCTGGCCGAGCTGGGGCGTCCCGGTAGGAAGTGGGACGGGGCGCCTCCATCACAAGCAGTGGTGGAGGAAAGGCTTGCCGACTGCGACGACCCTATCCGCGACGTGAGTTGCACGTTTAGGCTCCGCTACGGTCTGCGCGTATCTGTATGCACCGCTCATATTGTGCCGCGCTTGCCTGTGCTGTATGCAGAAAGTGCCGGGCACAGTGTCGGACGGGCATGTCGGCACCGGCATGCTTGCCGCGACGTCGTTCGGGTGGGTGGCCAAGCAGATCGGCCTGCTGACGGGCGACAAGGCTCGGAGCGCTGTGAGCATCGAGAACATCAAGGTCGCGGGTTTGAGGTCGCTCCGTGATAGCATGGTCGATTACATCTGCCATCGTGTCGCCGAAAACCGGATAGCGGCGCCGACTTCAGGCGCCGACGGACCCGCCGAGGGTGCGATTGATGACGACGGCGCGGAAAGTCAGACGGCGCCCCAAGCAGCAGCTGCCGCCCAGCGCCAGGAGGACTTGCCGGTGTCCGCGGAAGGAGGAACCGGTGGAGGACTAGGCGACGATGCGGCAGGCGCAGGGAGGAAGGAAGAGGAGTTGACGGACTCTGGCTCAGAGTCGGAGTCGGAGGGGGAGGAGGAGGACGAAGGGGAGAAGGAGAATGAGGACGAGGAGGATGACGAGGGCAAGGACGAGAACGATGAGGTGGTGGAGGTGGTGGCCGGGAAGGATGAGGCGGCGCACGAGGAAGGGGTGGAGGAGGAGGTGGAGTACGAGCTGGAGTACGCAGACGGCACGGTTGAGGCGGTGGGGTCGGCGGACGAGAAGAACGAGGAAGCGGAGGATGGCGATGCGGGTAATGCTACGGGGTCGGCAGGTGAGGGGAAGGAAAAGGATGAGGTCGGCGTGGAGGCAACGACGGAAACGGGCCAGGAGGAGGCGGCATGCGAAGGTGCGAAGGTGTCGGTCGACGCCGGCGAAGGTGCGAACATCGCGGGCGTGCAGGAGACGGGGGACGCATCTGGTCGGCAGGGCCCTGCAACGGACGACGTCGAGGAGCTGCGACGGGAGAACTTGCTGTTGAGGGCGGAGAACGCTCGGCTGCAGGGTTTGCTCGATGCGGAACGGGCTCGGCTGGACGCGTTTTTTGTTGGGCTACGTGGACTCGTCGACCACCTGAAGGAGTTGGCCGAGCAGGTCGACGACACCGAGAAGTATGCGGCGGAACAGCTGCGAAACGCGGCGGAGGCCATGTCGCAGACCATCACGGGCAACATCACCGGCAGCTTCGACGAGGCGTGGAAGACGATGAAGACCTTCGCGGAACAGGCGTCGGCGTGGCTGGAGGACTTCGACAACCCGGAGGGAAATGTGGCGTATCAACGCGCCTTAGCGGTCACCACCTTGGCCGACCACGTCGACAAGGTGGTGGGCGATGCGCAGGAGGATTTGCGGGAGCACATCACGAGCCAGTTGTCCGCCGCAGCTGTCAACATCGCCACAGCTGTGACCGGCAGGCTCCCCGTGCAGCCGCCGCCACCGCCTCAGCCCACGCCGCCCGCCCTCCCGGAAGAGCTCTTGAAGTCGTTCAAGGCCGACATCATGAAGACGGTGACGGAGGCCACCGAGCAGTCGTTCGTTGCGTCCGGGATGAAGATGTTGACCGAGATGATCGGCACGGTGGCGCCTGGTCGACGTGGGTCGTCGCCTTCGGCCAATGACGCCGACGCCGCGCAACAGAGGGCGGCCGACAAGCAAGGCCTGAAGAGGTCGGGCGACGGTGACGACAAGGAGAGCTCGAAGCGGAGCAAGGGATCGGACGGGAGCCGCGTCACGAAGCCTCCTGCGCGGAGCGTGGTCGACATGCTGAAGGCGAAGGGGTGGAAGGTGAGGGGAGGGTCGACCAGCAAGGGAAGCGGAAGCGGGGGGGCGGACGGGAGACCTGCCGACGGGATCGCGGCTAACGTCGATGCACCGCCTGGCCCGCCTTTGGACGCCGAGCAGACCCATCCTCAGGCGAGCGGTGGGAAGGACGCGGCCCCCACTGCCCAGGCGGCGAAAGTCGGAGGCGCCGGAACCACCCAGGGGCCGTCTGACGCGGTGCCGGCCAAGGGCAAGGCGATGTCTGCGTCTGCTACGGTCGCCGGAACCGGCACGGCGAAGGCTGCCTCTGCTTCAGTCCCCGGAACCGGCAAGTCGAAGGCTGCTTCTGCTACGGTCGCCGGAAGCACCAAGTCGAAGGCTGCTTCTGGTACGGTCGCCGGAACCACCAAGTCGACACCATGTAACCCGCCTGCGGCAACCACCGGGCCCGCCGGCCAGTCAGGTGCGGGGAAGCATGGGGAGGCCCGTGCGGCCCCTCCAGCTCCAGCAGCCCCTACTGCCGCCAAGGTCGACGCGAAGGCTGCTTCGGCACAGGGGCCACCCGGGAGTAACGCGCTTAGGGTGTTGCTCCACCGCATGGAGTCCCACCGCCCGGGCGCGCAGCAGCATCCTGTGGTCGACGCCGGCCTCGCAGAAACAGCACGTCGCTCCGTCACTCCGCACGTTGCCGGCAAACCGTCCGATGCCCAATCTGCCGCGCGGCCGGTCGCCGCCCCACCGCCTGCGGACCCCAAGTCCGCGTTTCTTCGCGCCCATATAGGCGCACGCAAAGCGGCAGCTCCACCAGTCACTCAGCCGGAACCCGGCACAAGCGCGACGCCGACGGCTGTAAATGCGA